ATCAGCCCTCCTGGGAGAAGAGCCGAGGTTGGTAAGCAGATGTACAGAGGGAGTCGGGGCACTGCTGTGGGCATGTGGTGTCCATGCCTGGGGGGCTCTGGGACAAATGGTCCAGGGCATAGGTAAAAAAAAGGCTGAGGGTGCAGGTGCAGAGAGTCAGGGAGTTGCCACAGGTGCAAGGCCTGGAGCAAGCAGCATCCCTCACAGGGCCACCACAAAGTAGTCAGCGGGGCTGGACCTGGCCTGCAAGGTTGCTGTGGGAGTGCCTGCTCCTGGTGTGGAGCTGGAGCAGAGCACTGTCCCCCGCATGGTCCCTGACGTCCCCATGCACAGGCATTGCTGATAGACCATGGCACCGGAGCAAGGAAAAGCAAACCAGAGCTCCCTGCAGCAGAGAAAACAAGTCCTTTCCTTCCTCCAGTGTCCTTCTAGTGCCCTCTACTGACAAAGCTAACATCAGGCTCACTGTAAGGAAGAAATACTGAGACCAATCCATTATCAAAGAACAGGTACTAAAGGGTGAATCTGGAGCCAAGAGGCAAAATATAGATAACAGAATCCATCTTCTTGGCTACTCAGAATCCATATGTGCCCTTCTATACATATGTGGACTTCCCGATCAGTTATATTCCTACCAATAAGATTTATCTATCCTTAAAAGTGATATTCTCACCCTTCTCCCAGATGAGAAGACACAGTCCTAATACTGTATCCAGAGCTGGCTCTAGTAAATACTCCACAATTTTAGTCATGGTTCCATGAAATATTCTACTACCTAAAGATTAAATTATAAAGTTGACCTCCCACAATTTGTACATAAAACAAAAAGGGGAGTAAAAAGGAGAAAATGGTCAGTAGACACAAATATACATACAAGAATCAAAGAAACACATGCAAAGCTACTATAGTCCTCGTTTTTGTAACTGGTCATTTTTGTAAGTGGTCACAAGGACATAGTTGATATCCATGGCTTCCTTCTTCAACTACCCATTCCATATTTCCCTTGTCCTCAGCTGAGATTCTGGGGCTCTGGGCTCTTTACCTGGTACAGTAACCCAAACCCTCATTCTAAAAGATCTTCGTCCTTAATTGCCCTGCTTTGGGGGAAGCACGGATGTACTGAGAGGTGCTCCCAGAGAATCCTCTGGGTTCTAGACATAGTCTTCCTCAACTCCGTTGTGTAGCAGCAGTGGAATTTTCCCTTGAGAATCAGCATCAATTACGTCAGCCAGTCGACTGGACCCCCTCCCTTTGCCCAGTGGTTTAGTGGCATAAGGAGCCCAACATGGCCAGGTGGCAGTCTCTTCTTCCAATTCCATGGTACCATTTTTGTGTCCCTTTGTGGAACATTCCTCACTTGAGAACTAAAATCTCCAAATCAGCAGGCTCCAATTTTTCAGGGTAAGAGGCAAAAATTCTGTGAGTGGGTAAGGTGTAATAGGACGAGTCATTCCTACCCCCACCCCTTGGTTCCTGGACCCATGTTATGCTGGCCAGGGAGATGACAGCACCATAGGATGGTCTCCCATTCAAAGAAGTACTTCATTCTGTAAAGCAACCCTCATTATTTTATTTCATAGTGTTGTCTCCCACCTGGTGCTAGAATCCAGTCTTCAGTAAGCTGTTCCACTTTTCAAGGAAGCCCCCTGGTTCCAGGAGATGAAATATGTGTGGGAAGACCTGTTAATTCCGTGGGCATAAGCCCATTGCCAGAGTTCCTGTGCTGTGAAGTGAGTAGCATGATCAGATGCAATGTTGTACGGAGTTAATGGTGAACGTGGTGTCTCTGTTGGGAGGGCCCCAGGAAACGACACCTCAGGGTGTGGGTGAGCCAAGGCTGGTGGGCGGGGATGCAGAAGAGTCGGGGCACTACTGCAGGGTGAGATCTGGAGCCTCTGGTATCCGTATGAGGAAAGCTCTGGGAAACAGCCCCTGGGGTGCTGCAAGCTGAGGCTGGTGGGCAGGATACAGAGGGATCCTGATGCACTGCAGGTGTGGGGCTGTGGCAAGGTGAGCACCAAACCTGGGCTGAAGCTAAAAGATTGCTGTGGGACCCTCCACTCTTGGCACACAGCTGGGGCAGAGCACCACTGGATGTCCCCCCAGTACACATCTCTGACAGACTGCAGCAAGAGCAGACGCACACTGGAACCACGAAAACCCCTTTTCTCCTGCAGTGTCCTTCTAGCATCCTCTTATCACCGAGCTCATTGTAAGGGAGAAATGCTTCAAGTCCAGTCCGCTATCACAGAATAAGTGCTGAAAGGTGAATCTGGAGCTGAGGGGCACTATACTGATAACTGCCACACGGGGAAACCACTAAATATTTAGCAATTAAATAATACACTTGGTAAAGAATGCATGTGTCAAAGAAGAAATCATGAGGAAATTAGTACTTTGAACTGAGTAATAATGAAAATAAAACATTAAAATGCCTATGATGTAGCTTTTTACTAGAAAAAAAATATTTAAAATCAATGGTCTTGGGGCACCTGGGTGGCTCAGTAAGTTAAGCCTCTGCCTTCGGCTCAGGTCATGATCCCAGGGTCCTGGGATCGGGTCCCGCATCGGGCTCCCTGCTCAGCGGGGAGTCTGCTTCTCCCTCTGCCGCCGCTCCCCCTGCTTGTGCTCCCTCTCTCTCTCTCTCAAATAAATAAATGCAATCTTTGAAAAAATATTAAAAAACCAAAATCAATGGTCTAAATTTTTACCTTCAACTAGAAAAAAAGAGCAAAGTAGAATAAAACCAAGACCAGAACTAAAGAGAACATGGACAAAATAATAGAGAAATATATAAAACCAAAGTCAATTCTTTAAAAAGTTGATAAATCTTTAGCTAGACTGATCAAGAAAAAAAAAAGACATTATTACCAATATTACAAATGAAAAAGGGAATGTTCCTATAGATCTTATGCATATTAAAAGGACTGTAGGGTTATTTATAGACAATTTTACATCCCCATGACTTACTTTAGACCTGGAAGTTTGTACTTCTTGATCCCCGTTACCCATTTTGCCCACCACCCACCCTCCCACCCTCCCCTCTGGCAACCATCAAATTATTCTCTATCTAGGAGTTTTGTTTGTTCATTTGTTTTTTGTTTTGTTTTAGATTCCACATATAAGTGGAATCATATGGTAATTTGTCTTTCTCTGACTTGAATTTCATTCAGCATAATATGCTCAAGGTCTATCCATGTTGTTGCAAATGGCAAGATCTCATTTTTTTAATGGCTGAGTAGTATTCCATTGAATATATATGCAGCACATCTTTCTCCAGTCATCCATTGATGGACACTTAGTTTATTTCCGTATCTTAGCTATTATTGTGAATAATGTTGCAGTGAACACAGCAATGCATGTATCTTTTCTTTTTCTTTATTTTTATTTTTTAAAGATTTTATTTATTTATTTGAAAGAGAGAATGAGATAGAGAGAGAGCATGAGAGGGGAGAGGGTCAGAGGGAGAAGCAGACTCCCTCCCGAGCAGGGAGCCCGATGCGGGACCCGATCCCGGGACTCCAGGATCATGACCTGAGCCGAAGGCGGTCGCTTAACCAACTGAGCCACCCAGGCACCCGCGTGTATCTTTTTTTTTTTAAAGATTTTATTTTTGAGAGAGAGAGAGCGCGCGCGAGTGTGCAAATGAGCGGGGCGGTGGGCGGAGGGTTGCAGAGGGAGAAGCAGACGTCCTGCTGAGCAGGGAGCCCAATGTGGCACTCGATTCCAGGACCCTGAGATCATGACCTGAGCCAAAGGCAGACGCTTAACCCACTAAGTCACCCAAGAGCCCCACATCAATCTTTTCAAATTAGGGTTTTGTTTTCTTTTGATGAATACCCAGTAATGGAGTTACTGGGTCATGTGGTATTTCTGTTTTTAATTTTTTGAGGAACCTCCATGTTTTCTAGAGTGGCTGCATTAAGATACATTCCCACCAGCAGTGCACAAGGGTTTCCCTTTCTCCACATCCTTGCCAACATTTGTTATTTCTCATCCTTTTGATAATAGCCATTCTGACAGGTGTGAGGTGATATCTCATTGTGGTTTTGGTGTGCATTTCCCTGATGATGAGTGATGTTGAGCATCTTTTCATGCGTCTGTTGGCCATCTGTAGGTCTTCTTTGGAAAAATGTCTGTTCATGTCATCTGCCCATTTTTTAATCGGATTGTTGTTTTGTTTTGTTATTGAGCTGTGTCAGTTCTTTATATATTTTGGATATTAACCCCTTACTGTATATATGTCTACACTGTAATTGCTCCTTCTCCCCAGGGGCCCTGGCTTATTAGCTGCTTGCTTACAAAGGTGCTGAGCCATTACCCTGGGCTCCTCAGATGTGGCATATCTACTGTGCGCACCGCTCTCTGGGCTCATTGTCACTCAGAGGACTTGGGTGCAGGGGAACCATGCTGACATTCCCGCTGCTTGGGGTGCTAGGAGCAATTCAGTCTTACCTCCCCATCTGAGCTCCCCGCGCTAAAGAAAACCTTCAGCTTGCAGTAAGTTCTGCCAAGGGGAGGCATAAGGGGAGAGAGGAAGGCAGAGGAGAGAGGAAGGAAACAAGCCTGGCGATGTACCCACCGCGCCTGGTGGGAGGCCTTCTCCATACCTCTCTCCAGGTGCATGGAATTGCTTCTGCTCCTTCCCTTTTATGCCTAGAAGAAAAAAATTCCCGCCCCACCTCCAATCCAACTAGCGAGGGGTACAGCACAGTCCTTGAGGGTTAGTCACTCTATTCAAATTACCTGTTTCCTGCCCTGCGGTTTAAGAGGCAGTCAGCCTGGGCCCACTGCAAACCCCTTTTCTTTCCACTCCCCTGCAGAAAGTGCTTACTCCAAATGGTATTCAGGCTTCAAAACACAGTTCACAGGCCATCCCTGGGAAACTTCTTTCCATTCCCACCCAGGAGTACTTTGGCCTCTCAACTCCCCTGCACGCTCTGGGTCACCTGTGGTGATCACGTTTCATCTTTGTGTCTTCACTGTGCTTCTAGGACGGAGCCTCCGGTTCTGACTCACTTTGGTGTCCGCTAACTACCTGGTACCTGCTAACCCCCACCCGGCATTTGCAGAGCACGGTCGCGCAAACCGTTTCTCATTTTAAGACCGTTGTTAGAAAAGAGAAGCGTGGGGCTAGGGCCTATTTACCAATCCTGTGGTCACGCTGCCACAAACTGACCACTTCTGCCAATGCACTGTCACCTGGGGTTGGCGAGCCCGAGAACGGCCTTTGCCCCGGGGCCCCGCGGACGATAACCTTGCTCCCTGCCACTGCCCCCCCCCAGGCTCAGCGAGCCGAAATCCCAGCGACGGCGCTCTACGCTCGCGCTCCTCCCCGCGCACGCGTGGCCGGCCTCGCGCGAGCCCCGGGCCCTGGAAACCATAGAGTGCCGCGGGCGGACAGAGGGGCCAGCAGCCGGGGTCGCTCCATCCCCGCTTCCGGCCGCGCCTCGCTGCTCTGGGAGCGGCTGCGGCGGCGTACGCAGTTTCCATGGGGACTGAAGATGGCGCCGCGAGGTGAGATTCTGGAGGTGTGTGAGTCTCTGATTCTGATGCCTTCAGTGTCCCTCTCCCCCCCGTTAGAGCCCGACCTAAACTCTTCGTTCTCGGGTGTTAGGGACATCGGTCCTCACTTGTGTAGAGTGGGGTTTCGCAGCCCCACTTTCCCTGAGTGCCTGAAGGTCTCGAGGTTCGGGTCTCAGAAACCCCCAGATCCTGGGCTGGGCCTATTTCAGGCCGGCTCAGTTACGAATTTGCTGTGTGACCTCGCACAGGCCAGTGCTGGCCAGTGGTGGCCTTTGCGCCCCAATGGCCCAAATAGTGACGGGGTTAAGATCTTAGAGCGGCCTTGCCTTTCACCCCGAAGACAAGAGTCGGGTTTGACGGTGATTCCGGGGATGGAAGGAAGCCCCCTACACACACACACACACACACACACACACACACACACACACACACACACACACACACACACACACACACACACACTGATTCCGGGGATGGAAGGAAGCCCCCTACACACACACACACACCCTCCCATTATCAGCAGTCAGAAGTACCCCAAGTGGTCTTTCCCACTAGCTGCGACCTCGTGTTTTCTTCAAGTTAGGCACAGAACCATTCAAAGAACAGAGATTGATGTGCCATCGTGCCCATCCCTCTTATTTGTGCTCATCTTTTCAGGTAAACGGCTGTCCTCTACCCCGCTGGAAATCCTGTTCTTTCTGAACGGGTGGTATTATGCTACCTATTTTCTGCTGGAACTCTTCATATTTCTGTATAAAGGTAAGGCCTGGGGCTTGACTACCCTTGCCTCAACATCCCTTCCGCACTTAAGCCCAGAGTCAACTCCCATCAGGAGCCTTCTTATTTTTCATCCTTTTCTGTAGCTCCTCTTCACTTCTTCATCATATGGCTTCTTTGAGAATGATTCACTAGGAAGCCCCTTAGCAAGAGTTTCCTCAGTTTGGGAAATGTGGGCTTCTCCGTCCTTATTCTCCCTCGTCACCTGTCTTTGCTGAGCTCCACTGTAAGCTCATTGGTGACCCTCAGAAACTATTCAGTGGCCAGTGTACCCATGTAGATCCAATCATTTTGGAGAGTGGAGGCCTCACAGACTTTTGGATTTAGGAGTGAAATCCCCTAATAATGAGTCGGCCTCTAACAGACACAGTCACACTGTGAGTTAATGTATCCTGTAGCAGGTTAACAGATCCTACCCACATCTCACTAACTAGTTCATGGAAAGCTGATAAGACGCATGCCCTCTTGATCCCCAGGTGTAGGGGAGTTCTTGTGGGTGCTGTTTTATGTTTGCAAACTCTGGCTTTTGTGTCGGCAGCTCTCCTGCTACCATATCCAACAGCCAACCTAGTACTGGATGTGGTGATGCTTCTCCTTTACCTTGGAATTGAAGTAATTCGACTGTTTTTTGGTGAGTGCTGTCCAGAGAATATTTCCATTCCTTCTCAGACAGACTTGATTAGCTTGATTAACAAGAACAAGTACATAACCTAGTCTCACAATAAGAGATTGGATCTGGTGGAATGTCCCATTACTCCCTCTCTGAACTTTCAAGCTGCTTCATATTTTGGGTCAAGCTTTACTTGTTGCTCTGTAGGGCCAGAGGTGGGCAGTAGCATGATATTTTAGATAGTTCCTTCCTAATTTCCTAAGTGTTAGGAGAGCCTGGTTCCTCTCACTGGCTTGCTTGGGAGAATAGATTTGACTGTAACCCCACGTTCAGGGCAGTATATGTCACACAAGTCAGCACTAAGGTCCCCTCCACTCTCTGAATAGGGATTTCTTAGGACCCTTTTTTTTTTTTTAAGATTGTATTTATTTATTTGACAGAGCAGAGCACAAGTAGAGGGAGCAGGCAGAGGGAGAGGGAGCCCAACATGGGGCTTGATCCCAGGACCCTGAGATCATGACCTGAGCTGAAGGCAGGTGCTTAACCAACTGAGCCACCCAGGCACCCCTAGGACAACTTTTTTATTCTCACAGATCCAGAGCAAATTCATTATTAGTTACAATATCTTATCCCAGAAAACAGTGTTAAAACACAAGCTGAGAAGAAACAGTATTTGCAACACGTGTAACAAAGGATTAAGAAGGCTCACATAAGTCACTAAAGAAAAGATGACCTAATTTTAAAAATTGGTAAGGGACACTAATAGGCAGTTCATATAAGAATAATTACAGGGGATCAGTAATCATGATAAAATGCCCAAACTCATTAATAAAAAGCAAATTGAAACAACAAAATAATAATTTCATCCATCAGATTAAAAAGATTTCCAAATACCCAGTATTAGAATGGGTGTGAGGACCAGGTCTCTCTTTCTTTTCCCACACTTTTTGGGAATGTAAATTAGAACAATTGTTTTGCTAATAGTTTTGCCATGTAAAATTTGTATTTTTTTTTTAAGATTTTATTTATTTATTTGAGAGAGGGAGGGCATGAGTGGGGTCGAGGGGCAGAGGGAGAGAATCTCAAGCAGACTCCCCACTGAGCACAGAACCTGATGCAGGCCTTGATCTCACAACTCTGAGATCATGACCTGAACTGAAATTAAGAGTCATACACTCAAATGACTGAGTTACTACCCAGGTGCCCCTAAAATTTGTATTCTTAGTCCTGACAATTACACATCTAAAACTGGTTGAAAAAAACAAACACTTCTACAGATAGCAAAGTACCTATTGGAGAAAGCTTATGGCCACATATTTTGTTTTTGTTTTTTTTTAATGTTTTATTTATTTATTCATGAGAGTCAGAGAGAGAGAGAGAGAGAAGCAGAGGGAGAAGCAGGCTCCCTGCCTAGCAGGGAGCCCGATGCGGGGCTCGATCCCAGGACCCCGGGATCATGACCTGAGCCGAAGGCAGAGGCTTAACCATCTGAGCCACCCAGGCGCCCATGGCCACATATTTTGTAACATCAGAACATTAGAGGGGCCCCTGGCTGGCTCAGTCGTGGAGTGTGCCACTCTTGATCTCTGGGTTGTAAGTTCAAGCCCCATGTTGGGTAGAGATTACTTAAAATATAAAATAAAAAAAAAAACAGAGGGGTGCCTGGGTGGCTCAGTCAGTTAAGTGTCTGACTTCAGGTCAGGTCATGATCTCGGTCCTGGGATCGAGCCCCATGTTGGGCTCCCTGCTCAGTGGGGAGTTTGCTTCTCCCTCTCCCTCTGCCCCTCCCCCCTCCATAGTGATCTCTTTAGCTCAAATAAATAAAATCTTTAAAAAAATTGGAAACAACTAAACATCTGTCAATACAGGATTAAATTATGGAATTGCCTCAATGAAATTGTTCATACCATTAAAAAAAAGAATAAGGTAGTTATACGTGGAAAGATGTCTTAACTTAAATGGGAAAGAATAAGTTGAAAACAGTATGTAGAGTATGATTCCATTTTTTTTTTTAAATGGAACTTATTTTTTTTTTTTAAAGATTTTGTTTATTTATTTGACAGAGAGAGAAACAGCGAGAGAGGGAACACAAGCAGGGGGAGTGGGAGAGGGAGAAGCAGGCTTCCCGCTGAGCGGGGAGCCCGATGCGGGGCTCGATCCCAGGACCCTGAGATCATGACCTGAGCCGAAGGCAGTCGCTTAACCAACTGAGCCACCCAGGCGCCCCTGATTCTATTTTTATAATAAGTAGTAATATGTTAAGTATATACACATAAAAAAACTGAAGCAATACACATCGTTCTGTAATGATGGCTATCTCCAGTGGGGAGTCATGGGGCCTTTTAGTTTCTGTATTTTCTAAAATTATTTTCTGTACTTACATTAGTTGAAAAGTTTTCAATGATTATATATTATAATTAAAAAAATATTTCCCCCAAGTAAAGAAGTCACTGTCCCTTGAGTGGGGAGCCAGACTTGAAGCAGGACCTTTGGAGTGAATGACTCCATCCTGTGGCACCTCCAAAGCCTCTCACTTTTAGCACAGTGGGACCCCATTTATAAATCTGCCCATCCCCATTCAGGATCATTTTTCTCTGCCTTGCCAGTCTATCCCATCCCATCCCCCCAACCTTTTCTCTGAGTCCAGGGAAAGCAGGCCACCTGGAGATGACTCCATGGGCTGTGTCTGACAGGTACAAAGGGGAACCTCTGCCAACGAAAGATGCCACTTGGTATTAGCGTGGCCTTGACCTTCCCATCTGCCATGATGGCCTCCTATTACCTGCTGCTGCAGACCTACGTACTCCGCCTGGAAGCCATCATGAACGGCATCTTGCTCTTCTTCTGTGGTTCAGAGCTGCTGCTTGAGGTGCTCACCCTGACGGCTTTCTCCAGGTACCGCTGCTGAGGGACCATTTCCTGTCACCTGAGGGTTGGGTTCCCATCTCATCCTAGGGAGGGACTCATTGTTCTTCTGAAGCCTGAGGGGTCTGAAGCACTTTCAAGGGGGAAACGGGGTACCTATGGGATTGCTTTTCCTATTCAGGGTAGACAGTTACTCAGGGAAGACATTCTCCTTGTTCTCTGGGGCCAAGAAGCTTGGAATATAGAACAGTTCAGACCAGCTGCTCTTGTTCACTGGCCTTTTAACATTTTCTTTCTTTCTTTCTTTCTTTCTGCCATCAGTATGGACAGGATTTGAAGTACAAGCATTTCAGCCAGCAGCCCTCATGGGCTGAGACCACAGATTCTTCTGGTCTTTAGCCACACCAATGAGAATTGGTGAGTCAGGTTGTCCTGGTAAGGGTTGCAGCTTTTCCTCAACACAGACATTCGGGCAACAAACTGAGTGTGAGGCCACTGGGCATCATCTTCTAAACCAGGACCATCAGCCTAAGAGAACTGTTGTATACTCCAGTGTAGGGAGGGGCAAGGTTGGCCCATCCTGGCCCGTCTCAGAACCAGTTCCCTGCTGAGCTCCAGTTCTCTTTGATCCTCGTGGCCAGAGCATCTTGTGTGGACCCTGTAGGCTCCTTGGGCTTCCAGCAGGACCAGAGCCACATACTCCTCGTATGTGCTGTGCCACCCCTGTCACACGAGCACAGAGAGCCTCGGGACGGTCTGCTCCCAGGGTGATGCACAAGCCTCTCACCTTGTTCCTCAGAGACTGAGCTCCAGAACTTTATTAGCGGCTCATAGTGTTATTTTTCTACTCTCATCATGAAACAAACGTTATTTTATAATAAATGTGTATTTTCTATCATGGGAGTTGTAGCCTTTTCCTTATGGCACCTGTCCCTAGAATTTCATCCACTCCAAGGGAAGGTAGGGACTCTCCCAGCAGTTTGTTCTCAGGCTGTGCTGAGCGATTGTGTGTGGACACAAAAGCAGTGATGATTTTCTTCCTCCAGCTCTAGCCTGAATTAATCCCTAAAGGCATTGCCAACTTCTGTATCTTCTTCAAGCCTGTCATCCTAAAAGACGGCTTATATTCTTCACCTCTGCCTCAAAGCCAGCATTTTTTCTCTCATTCCTCCTACAGATCATTGTCAGCTTACCAGAATGAGGCATGAATACTTGGAAGAAGCATATTCAAAACTTGCCAGTATTTTTTGGTCATTTATTTTAAAATTTCAAGTTAACGTAAAAGGAAACATACTTTCTTTCCTTCCTTCCTTTTTTTTCTTTCTTTTCTTTTTTTCTTTCTTCCCTTTCCTTTCCCTCCCCCTCCCCCCTTCCTTCCTTCCTTTTTTCTTTTCTTTTCAGCTGGAGAAATATTGCCCTACATGCATATATCATTTCCTTTTCCAGTAACCGTCTTTAAAACCTTCTCATCTTACTCAGTAGTGGCTTTTTTTCTTCTTTCCCCCCAAGAAGCCACCAGGAGCCATGACAGAATCCACTTTAGAAAACCTTGAGCCATATGGCCCCTCTGCTGTCAGAAGAGTATCTGCTCTTGCTCAAAGTCAAAAGTTAATTGATCTTTAAGCATTTCCGTGCTTTTAATTCTGCTTATTTCCTGTGATCAAGCTCATTCTCATCCTGTGAAGGTCTCCACTGTCCAAAGCACTTATCATTTTTCTTGTTTCCTACCCCTTCTGTGTCCTTGCCTCCTGGCTGCTTTTGGAGTCCATCCAAAAACTGTAGTAGACAGGTCTAATCCACCATGAAACAGTGAAACAGTAACAAAAAATCCAGTTGGAACCTCCTTGATATTTCAGTGACAAACCCCACCCATCCCCTTTCTGCTGCTCACACTGCTGCCTTCTCTAGCTGTGCTTTGAAGAAGTTGTTGGCATCAAGCTAGACAGGAACTTGTTCTCCGTGGCCTCCCCATTTCTTTTAGAGGTTCAGTGGTTAAGGTCACTCTCCTGGCAACACAAGATAAATGAATGAAAGGCTCAGCTGGAAGTTTAGAGGTGGCTTATAATTAAAAGGCACCTTAGAAAGGAATCTGATCCCCCACTTTGCAGGCTTAGAGATGAGAAAGGAACAGCCACGCATCACACAACTGGTTACTAACAGCTGGATCTCGAAATCTTGTCTTAGGAGTCTCAGTCTAGATCGAGTAAATTCTACTCAACAGGCACCACTTAAGGAGAATGAGTGGTTGGCAATGGGGATAGAATTAGAGCAGGAAGTCCTCTCATTTATTTCGTGCTTCTCCGGGAGCTTAATGCATTGTGCTTCCTGTGGATGGCTCCACAGATACTCATTCTTCCGGGTGCTTCCTGGAGCCACACATGCAGGTGTAGTCACCCCAGAATAAAACATCATACAACAGAAATTGAGGCAGCAGGGGATGGGAATGAGCAGAGCTAGTCTTTCAGGGTTAGCTGTGGTCAGATGCTATATTTGAAGGCCAAGGGAAGTCACTTTACTGCCTATCTAGACCTGAAGGATCAATATTCTGGAACAGGGGAGAGGACCTGAGTGAAGGAGTAGGGCTTGTAGGGCTTGGTCACATGGGCTGGTAGAGACCTGCTCAGGTATTCACACTCATGGCTAGAACTTGACAAGTGACTGCAGTGGCCATCTCTAGAGGCTGAGGTCTGGCCCAAATCAGGAAGCACCTGGGACACACAGATTCGGGTTTCTGGCTCTACACCATGACAGCAATGTGTAGGAGACTAGTATTCATTCAGTGCCTGGCAGAGTAGATTTAATCCATACCACGATCCTGTGAGGCAGAAGAAAATCAACTCGAATGTTAAGTCACCTCCTGTTTGAGGGCATTTAGCTTAAAAAGTAAGAGTTGGGATTTGAACGAAGAGTAACCCAAAGGTCATTCTCTTTCTGTTTCACTATGGTAGCGCTTCAATGAAGAACGTGCTGACTTCTCTAAACTACCAGTCCTCATACTTTAGTTTACATGGAAGTCATCTAGGATATAAAAAGTAGATTTCTAGGCTTCATGTAGAAGTGGATGCAGCCCAAAAACAGGAATTTTAGCAAGCGTAGCACGGGACCACAGAACTTGCCTTGAGAGCCCACTCGTATTTCCCTCACACTGTGCACTGTCATAGAGATTCTGGGCCCCCTGAAGGTTTCTTGTTTTTATGCTGATCTTGCCTTTGCAGGTCCCAATACACATTATGTATCACATGGTCTCTGGTTCATCTTTTTATACATGTAACTCTCCTCTTGGCTCACCTGGCTTTTTGAAAAGCCAGAAGCCTTCTGGAATTCCAAGGAGTTCACCCACAACATTCTCCTAAACTTCCTAATCTGTACTTCCCGATGTTGAGACAGCAACCCAGTTCCCAAAACATGTTCACATTTGCTCTCTCAGATTTTTTTTTTTTTTAAGATTTTATTCATTTATTTGACAGAGAGACACACAGCAAGAGAGGGGAACACAAGCAGGGGGAGTGGGAGAGGGAGAAGCAGGCTTGCCGCTGAGCAGGGAGCCCAATGCGGGGCTCGATCCCAGGACCCTGGGATCATGACCTGTGCCGAAGGCAGATGCTTAACAACTGAGCCACCCAGGCGCCCCTACTCTCTGATTCTTAAAACACCGCTGTGTGAGAGGCAGAATAGCGACTGTTCTCAGCTCAGTTAGGTTATGCTGCTGTTCACCCCGCCCAAGCAGGCACTGGCAAGCATACTTCCAGACTCCCAAGCAGAGGAGTCTTCCCTTCCTGAATTTGAGAACGTCAGAACTGAACTGTAAAGGGAGGACATTTACTCAGAGAATGAATCTTAGGAATCTTGAAAGACAAAGGACAACTTGGAATTTTTCTTCCCTTAGTTTAGATGGCTAAGGAAGCAAGCTAAGCCTCAAGGGGGCACTTCCAAAGATCTGCACTAGAGGCTCCCTAGTGTCCCCCAGGCCACCACACACCCGACCTGGGATTCCAGCTCAGAACTCGGGGGCTTCAGTGTCATCCCACAGCCTCTGCATCAGCCCCGGCCCATGTCCCAGACACCTCAACAAAGCTATTCAATGCAGAATCCATAAAACAGCTCACACCCCATTTATTATTTAAAAATATTTTGTTACAAAAGGAAAAAAAATACAATGCAGTATAAAAGATTGACAGCGTCATCAAGTTTATTACACAATTTTCAACCTATCAGAAAGACAAACAAATCACCGACAACAGGGGGACGGGGCCTTGGCCTTTTTGAGGGCTGGGTTTTTTTTCCTTTTGCTATCAGGAAATAAAACTAAAATTTGTGTCATTGAGTAAAAACAAAACAAAAATGGGGAGAAAAAAATTCTCCGGGTAAACGGCTTTTCTGGTATTCTATGTATTTTTTTTCCTTAAACTGTCACCATACTCCGTTTTCTCTACATTTTAAAAAGACACCCGGAGCTGCTCTCGAGGATAAGCACATCACTTAACACTTGGCCAGTTGGGCGGGGGGCCATGTTCTGAAGTGGAGGTGGGGATGGGGTTGGGGACAGGGGAAAAAAGCTACAAAGGTGTAGCCTCTGTCCCAAGGGAATGTGCCTGTCCAACCCTGGGGGGACCCCCTCACTGACTGACTGAGGGCTTTGTCAGATACGTGCAGGGAACAGAGGAAGGGTTCAGTCCAACTCAGTCTCTTCCCTCTGAGTCAGAAGGGTCTCCAGTGACCCTACCATCTCACATGCCACGTCTCTTCTCCTGCTAGGTGTCAAATGCCCTGTACGTGCATGCGGTAGCGCAGGACCGTTGCTGCCGCCATCAGCAGCAACCACACCACAACTTGGATGTTAGGGGAAAAGCAATTCCATTTGCCTGTGTAGAAAATGGCCCCCAGAGTGGTGGTCCTTAGAACTCTGAGCCGAGCTCATCTGAGTCAGGCTCCACTTCCTCCTCACTCCTCATCAGAGGCAGGAAGCACCTCCACGTAGAGCGAGGGGAACTATTAATACGTCAACAGTCAAAAGGTGGAAAGACACCAACAAATCTGTGACTTCACCTGCCTACTAGTGCCAGGTTCTCCCACAGTAAGTAAAATATGTATGTACCTGGGGGATGCAAGCCCATGCTCACATCGAACCTGAAAAAAGAAAAGCCTCTATGGAAGTAGGCCACAGCCTGCCCAGCCTGCCTCCTTTCCCACCCCTCCTGGTAGTTCACAAGGGTTCTTCAGTGCTGAGGTCCGCTGTCCCCGTCTCCCAAGGGCAGTAGCTTCCTCTAAAACAAGGAAGCAGCCTTCCTGGGGGAGGGGCTCCACGTGCGAAATGGAAAAGCCCCAGGAAAGGGAACACCTAGTACAACTGGTTATTGCAAGAGGCAACCAAGCACAAAGCAGCAGAGGGTGGTAACTGGCTCTGCCGGGCTCCCCAGCAGCAAGCAACCTCAAGGGCCTTCTCTGCTTAGGAGGGGCAAGTCCACTGAGGCGGCTGGGCAGCAGGGAGGTGGAAAGGTTCAGCCCTCTGGGAGGTCAGGGAAACGAACCGTCAATATGTAAGAAGAAAAAGCAAGAACAGGAGAAGCTTCTCCTAAGGGAATTTCTGTTCTCAGGGTCCCTCCTCAAAGGGCTGGGAAGGTAAAGGAGTTAAACAAAGAAGTGGTATGTTAGCAAGGGGTTTGGACCCTCTTGGCCCCATCAAACCTAGTGCTGAGGGCAGGACCCTGGGCATATTTTGGCACACCCAGTCACTCTCCTAGATCCTGCATGGAGGATCCTTTTTCTTTGGGAAGAAAGTCTTCCCATCAACCTCACCACTGAACTGCTCCTGGAGAATCAGAAACTCCTACGTTTCCTTGGACAAAGCACCATTCTCTATGGAGACCAGGGGCCTGGACATGTTTTCCTCCTGTCTGC